CAGTCATGACTTCGACGTATCCGCAGTGAGTATCACATCAAGTTCGGCAAGCCCTACTTGACTTCCTGGGCCAGGTGACTTACAACACCTCGGACGGTGCAGACTGGACCAAGGGAGCCATCATGTTTGACTTCCCGAGCTACCGACCGAGCATTGGAGATAATCTTCGCTTCAACGAGCCGTTCTGTAAGCTGGATATCCCATGTTCGAGGGGCGTGAGGGATCATGCGATACTGACATGCAGCAGACCACAAGCTCGCCAAGACACTCGTCGACGAGTTTCCCTGCCGCCCTCACTGGACCAAGAACACGAGGGAGGTCTTCAAGAACTCGGCAAAAAATATTGACCCCGATGTAAGTGGAACAGTTTAAGCACAAATGCCGTGTGCGGGTAGCATACTGACTGCTGCAGCACCTGCGCCGATTCAAGGTTGTCAGGAAGAAGTTTGATCCCAACGGGGTCTTCAAGAGCGTCGTCGGTGAGACCCTGGGACTCTATTAGTCTTTTTGAACGATTTGCGGCTCCGCTGTGCATAGGTCAAGCCCGGAACACCCAGCTGGTCGGCCGCATTCTCAGTTTACTTTGGCTTTAGAATGTCGATAGCTATTAACTGCCACTTATGCTGATCGGCTGACAATCGGCGCCGGAGCGAAGATAGGCTTCCATGTGAAGGGAGACCAATGTCCGCATCCTATTCGTAGATATGGTGACGTCCTGTTGATGCTGGTGCGAATCTGAGGACATCTAACGAAGTCGACATTGCATGTGACCAACCCCTCTCCTCCGTGGATGACATCACATGATTAATTGTACCACCTTTAGTCTCAACCCTTATATCACCTCACCTACTCACCCCAACTTGCCCTGGCTGATCTTCATCTTGTGTTTACCACTGGCAAAACCACCTCAACCCATCGAAGAACACCTGTTGCGCACAAACAGACCTATCATGTCACCGATCTTGATCATCGGCGCCACACGCGGGCTCGGCGCCGCCCTGATCAAACGCTACGCTGAGCAGCCGGGCTACACCGTCTACGGCACGACACGTTCATCCCAGGCGCCAGCCGATTTTCCTCCGCAGATCAAGTGGCTGCCGGACATTGATTTGACGGAACAGTCAGTCGGCTCGAAACTTGTAAGCCTCCTTGGCGGCGCACAGCCGCTATCGGCCGTCTTTGTGACTGCGGGCTACTTCACGACGGAGGACCTCAGCGCCGATAAGGGACCCAACTGGGCCGAAGAGCAGCGCATGTACACGACAAGCGCCATTGCACCCGTCTTTCTTGTGCATGCGTTGACGCACGCGGGGCTACTGCGCAGTGGGGCCAAGCTTGTGCTTGTGTCTTCTGAGAGCGGATCCATTGGACTGAGGCATGAGGTCGAAGGTGGCGGCAACTACGCCCATCACGCAAGCAAGGCGGCGCTGAATATGGTTGGCAAATTGCTGAGCCTTGACCTCCGGGAGAGGGGCGTCATCGTCAGCATTGTGCACCCGGGCTTCATGCGCACCGAGATGACGGCCGGTGTGGGGTTCGACAAGTACTGGGACGAAGGCGGCGCCGTCACACCCGAGGAGGCGGCGGCGAGCCTTGCTCAGTGGACCGACGGCTTAGATATCAGTAAGACGGGAGAGTACTGGGCGCCCAGAGGACCACGTAAGTCGTCACATCTAGTTCGTTCACAGCAAGGGCAAGCGCCGAAACTGGAATGCTAATGGTGTCTTGACTCCTTCAGGCGACATTGGTACGGCCGAGGCGGCGCTTGGCAAGGGCTTGCCCACGCCGTTGCAGTTGCCGTGGTAAATCAGGTCTGTCTACTTATAAAGGTGAGAAAGAGACTTGGCCTGCCATCGTGAGAAAGGGCCATGGAACCAACGTGTCATGAGAGTCTGGGTTGCAAATCTATGAGCAGTCGATTGTTGGTAACAAGGGTCAGAAGGTTACGAATCTTAAACTAGAAGAACTGAGTGAGCGAGCGGCCCTTAAAAGAGTAAGCTTGTCATGAGAAAATTACTCTGGTCACTTGTACACGTCTCTCGGTCACGTCGTGACGTGAATTCTATCATCGCCATTCCCGACCACCTACTGGCGGAAGTAGTGCGTGGAGCCGGTCCCAAGGTGTTTCATGGCAAGCTCCACAAGCGTCTGGCATCTGTGGGTTTCCTGACGCGAGAAAGAGAACGCGAGGAAAAAAAAAGAAATGAGCCACCCCTTGATGCCCCCCCTCCCCCTGTCCATCGGGGTCATCTCTTCAGGGCCCTCGGCTTGCTGCGCAATCTCCCGACCCGTGATGCCAAGACGGCGCCGTGCTGCGAGGGATGCACATCGTGCATCGCCGGTGGCCTGGAAGGGTTCGCTGTCAAGGACAAACGAGCGAGGCAGTTCTGAGCCAGCGACGAAAGTGAATGAGGTATCCAAGCAGTCTCAGGTGTTGCACGCATGTCTGAGATCTGAA